AAATTGCTATTGAAAATTTTTCGATTCAAATCGGGAAAAGTCACCCGATATGATACGCTAATTAAAAACGAATGAATGATCGTCGTCGTGGAACCGTCCACAGTTTTGCCGGCGTAACACGCGCTGGGGCAGGATATAAGCAAATTAAATATGCATAATTAAAACGAAATAGCGACGGGAGAAACGTCGCTCGTGCGGTTCCGGCTGGCTCGAATCAGAGGGAAGAGGACTTAAGGCAAGGAACATTCTCGTAGCAACATCTGGTCGCTATGAAGTATAAAGAGGCATGCGATATCATCCGCAGTGAATGCTTAATTAAAACCTCAGACTCCTCAGCCACGGAGTTCCCCTTAGTCGCGCGCTAATCGCAAGAACCGCCGTTGCTGTTCAACACGAACCAGCTCACTTTTACGTATATGTATATGTATATCCTTGCGGTGTGACAATCTCTTGTTGATAATCTTACGTTCGCTTTACGAATGATTTTCATCCCCGATGATCATTTAACAATCATATCTACTTTCGTCACCTTTCATAATGTGTGAGACATTATTATTATTATCAAACAATTATTAATTATTTAATTAAAAATTAAGTTTTTGTCTTCACAAGTCTCATTTAAGAGAAATTAAAGATGAATCTAATGAATTTTTAAGTTATACACTGTATGCTTTAAGCGAAAATCTGTTTTTTGTCAAAATTTTCTTCGTATAAAACGAAGCAAAATTTTTTTAACGATCTTCGAAGCAACGCAATAATCGATAAGCAAGTTTAAAAAGCGGTAGTGAAAGTAAGCGCTCTATAGCATTTCCGGTGGCACACTAGCCATCCAACGGGACGAGAGAAAATTTCACTTGGAGCGTCTAACGAGTTCGCTTTTACCCCAGACGACGAAGAAGAAAAAGTTGGAAGAGGGTCGCGAGTGGGGAGAGTGGAGTTTTAGGTACGAAAAGCGAGCCTCTCCGTTCCAGTGGAGCAAGGACTCGGCAAAGACTCGTTTTCAGTGATCCGGTGAGATTGACAGGTCGAGCCCTACTCGTGGACTTGTGCCGGTTGGCATGCTAAAATGGCGATGAAAGATGGTTTACTTTTAATGGCGGATATGCTACTTTCGGTACGCATTTCTTTTGATAACTAATTATAACGACACGTCAAACGATGAACTACAATCTAGTGAATATGTTAAGTAACTTCGAGCTCTCTCTTATATGTGAAACGCGTTTGATAAATTTTCCACCGTATGTCGATGCACATAAGCAATTACAGCGCACGCTATTAAGCCGTTGTAACGATGAATATTCCAATTATTGCAAAGACGCAACATGCGGCAGGTACGCGTTTCACGTGCCACCCGATAGCGCGTATATCACGCGTCTCGTCGCGGGAGAGACGGTAACGTCAATATATATGCAAACGCCGATATAACGATCTATCGGTACGTAAATATACAAAGGGCGAAGACGAGCGTGGGAGAAAAAGCGATGGCACGAGAGAAAAGGGAAAAGGGCGAGAGACTCGCCCGCGCACGCGAAGTAGGAGTGAGAGAGAGAGAGAAAACTCTGAGCTTAATATAAAACGTCATTTCGCAATCGGCAGCAGCCGGAGGAAACGCGAAGATCCGGCACGCAGAAATTCCGCAGTCGTCACAAAAAAGAGGAACTTTGAAAGAGAGAAAGAGAGAGAGAGAATCTTATTTTTCTGGCATTAAGTTTTTCGCGGTAAGGGTGGGGGGAGGCATTATTCTAAATATAACTTTTTACTTTCGATAAAATTGCAGTACGACGGAATAAAAACAAATTTTGGCGACAACTTTCGCAAATGCCATGATGCACGAAGCGACGAATCGTTTTGAGATTAATAAAGAAATCCGAAAATTATCGTCGCGCAGTTTCCGGAGGAATCCGTTATCGGAAAAACTCCATCTCTCTCTCTTTGCACGGCGCAAAGAGAGTAAAATAAAGAATCCGCCGAAGAAAGATAGCGCAGAGCCGCTTTTATCGCGCGAAGCGCGAGCAACTGTGTCGATCTGAGGAAAATTGCCCCCCTCTTTCCCCTCCTTCCTCGAACTTTTCGTTCGTATATTTCGGGCCTTTCTTCCTATATATGTTTTCGGGGTGAGACGCCTGGGGAGGGAAGGGGTCGAGTTCTACCGAACATCGGTGGCGCGAGCGAGGCGCGCGCGATGAAACTTTTAATAAATGGCAGAGTCGATATGAAGTATAGGACTTTGACATATCGTGTGTCTGTAATGTATAGTTAAATCTGGTGGCAGATGTGGAGGGTGTTCTCTCCGTTCTCTCATTCTCTCTCCGATACCTCTCCCGCTCGCTCGCCATCTCTTCCGCTCGAACGTCCTCCTCTCACAAACCTCCCTCTTAACCATCCGCGTCCGTTTTGCGCTTCGGGATGCTCGACGCTCCCTCCGCCCCGTGAAAATTTCCTTCTAACCCACTGACGCAATTGAATATATCATTAATACGATCTCGGAGAAAAGTCCGAAATTAAAGATTAAATCACCTTTTAAGTCTCTCTCTTTAGGTATAAACAAGATTCGGAAAAAATCTTCACTTAACTCTCTTACATTTTTCATTTTCCATTAGATTTTTACAATTATTTGTTTATATAATACTTGCCGCTCAAATATATATTTAAAATTTTAAACATTATTATTAAGATTTATACTTGCTGTCCCAAAATTTTCCAGGCATCCTGATTAAAAGAATAATACGTACAAACCTAAATGTTTATATTATCTTTATCACTTTGTTGCAACGTGACACAAATGTGCCATTTATTTAGTTCAACGATCTACAACATAATGTTATAGGTATTCTCACGCTAAAGGGGATCGATTGAAGCAAGTAAACGACTTTGCTTCATATGAACCGCCTGATGAGGGTAGTGCCACGAATTTTTTTCTTTGGAAGCGACAGTGAACTTTTCAATCAAACTGCCTGTCTAAATGAAAGCTCCTCCACAAAGCGAATCAGGGTAATCTGTCATCAAAACTGTTCCGCGACGAGCCGTCGCGATACCAGTCAGTGCCCCCAGCAACCCCGACCGTTGCAACAACGACACGGTTGCATTCAAGATCCATGAACCGATCCAATTCAAATTCTCTCTTGAGAGAGCATTTTGTATAATATCATATTCGCATGATTTAAATGTAAACGTATATACACGCACAAAGCGATTAAAATATGGATTGTCATGGGCGAAAAAATACTTGAAACTTCTTCGCATATCAAATACAAATATGCTATTGCATTTTTAGAGATCAATAACTAATTAAATATGAGTAAAAAAAATTGGACATGAGTACTATACCTGTGACAAGGTCGAAAAAAGGCGAGAACTGCAATCGTGACATCGTTCCTGTCATCGTTCAGCGGACGAATTCGCGCTATCACACGCATCGAGCCGTTAATAAAAGCGAGAGACTGTCGTACCTTGATTCTGATGCTCATCCGGCGAAGGTGGAGGACCGCGTGGCCGAGCACGTGAGAAAGTTCCCCACCACTTGGCGCGATGCCGAACGACGCGCTCGCGCGTACCGCCCACAGTTGCGCCGGGTAACCGTGGCCGCCCAAAAGGGCCTCGTGCTCGTCCGCATCGAGAGAGTCGCCCGCCTGCACTCTCACGGCACGGACCTGGTCGTCGTACCCTCCTGGTTCGCGTGTGCCCTCCGAGCCCTCCAAGGCCACCGTCGTCACGACAGGGCAGCCCGCCTACGTCGGCGGAGGGCTGTGCCTCACCGCGCGCGTTACCGCTCTGCGATTGGTCGCCCCGTTCCCGGCGAGCACTGTCACGTGACCGGGGCTGCCGCCACATTAAAGGACAACTTCCACCTTCGATGCCCAAGTGGACTCCTAGCCACCCCCTCCCGGAACGGGGAAAGAGACAGCAGTAACAACAGAGACACCGGGAACGTCGGGAGAGGCGAAAAAGATCGTAGGGAATTTCGGTCGACTGGAGACACGACCGTCTCTTTCTACGGGACGTCCTTCGGGTCGCCTCTCCTACCGCGCCTCGTCGACGGGGTACCTCCACCACGGGGAACTATCTCGGACCCCCCACCCACCCGCGGCCGCGCTATCTCTCGACGTCCTCTCTCTCTCCATCGTCACTTGGCGAGTGTACCGCGGTATCGGTGACTGCTTGGCGTGTACCCTAGTCCGTTTGCCTGGGTTTCGGCCGATCGGTACGGCGACGGTAGCCGCGCGATTCGGCACGGCGTTCTCCGTCGATCGGTCGGACTATCGATCAAACGTCGTCGCGACTACGTGTGACAGTGGTGATCTGTGTCCTGCTTGTTTCCATCATCGAGACTGCGGATCTATGATCTGCCATATGTCGATCGCGAGTATGCAGTGTCATGTCCGTGTCGTCCGAGAATCCGCTTCCCGTTGCTACCGAGTTTAATGTCACGCAAATCGAGTTATTTCAGATAGTTCGGAGATGAGCACGGATATATAATTTACGATAATGTACTGTGGTGAGTACTATAGTGTGCAGTGAATATGCGGTAAACAATTGGTATTTGGTTCGCCAATCAATGTGCATAAATCACGTTTGAGCTATAACAAGTAAGTAATAATAAAGTGTTCCGATTAAGAAAGAGCGATGCTGAAGAAGGAAATGCATGAAACAGAAAAGTGATCGGTTCTGTGTCGTTGGAATAGAGGATGAGTAGAATTTGGTATCGTATATGCACTAATTAATTATATACGAAAGAGAAAAGATAATAAGCTATATTATAATCAAATTCATGCTCATTTTTGCCTTCTCGTCTAAACAAATTTCTGCAGTTGCTATAATTACGCGACGTTTTAACATAAACGCACAGTATATGCTAAAAAAAATAGACAAAAATTAAACAGTGAAACATTTCTCGAGCGAATTTCGGTGAATAGTGTGTTCTTCAAGATCCGTAAGAGATCGTACTGAAAAGAATTTATCTGCAATTAGCAATAAGTTGTTCCCTGGTTATTTCGCGTTTGTCATCTCAGAAGATCGAAGCAAACTGCAATTGTAGGTGCGTCTTATGCGTAGTAAGCAACAAGCGTTGGTACACCTCGAAGAAGATTTACGCCAATCGCAGTTGTCCAACTCCAGCAATCTGCATCTCGGCAATCACCTTCAGAATTTGGTCCACGTAAGCAAAGAGCTCTCGACCGTGAAGACGAGGCCGACGACACCCGTCCTGGCGAACGACGGAGGGGGCGGCTTCTGGCTGGCCACAGTGGCCGCGGGGGCGAGTACCCCAGCCGGGCTGCCCCCGCACGGGACCCATCATCCAGCCATGGACCCGACATGCGGATCCGCCGAAACTGGCTTTATCAACAGCCAGCCCTCCATGGCCGAATTCATGACAGCGTTGCCGCAATTAGCCGGGGACAGCAGCCTACAACACTCACCGGGGACCGGTGGATCCATCAGTCCTGGCGCTCATCATCCCGCATATCATACCATGATGGATCCCCACAGTGTCGCTGACCCCTCGGGTGTCAATGTTCCTGAATATCCTTGGATGAAGGAGAAGAAAACCACTAGGAAAAGTAATCAGCAGGGTAAGTCTCTTATCGAAGAAATGTCGTTTCGTCTCGTCTCAACCATCACCTAAGTACAGACAAGAAAGATTTTCAAAGTCACGAGAAATTAATATTTGCATATAATAAAAATAAAAAAATATATCTTTGAATCAAAGCGCTGAATGAAATAAAGCGTTTATTAATTATTACAATATATTATATCCTTATCAAAAAATATACAATACAAATTAAGTCTGTTATTAATAATCAATAATTGAAATCTATATATAAAATATCTCTTATATAATTTTAAATCTTTATCTGTGAAAGAAAAATAAAACATTAATTAATTAGCGACTAAGCTGATTGATAATTAAAATTATATTAACAGAAAATTGTATTAACATAAAATTTTGTGGAAAACTAACCGTTATTTACGCATCATTTTTATCGAGATCTATGGTGGACGCGATTAGAAATGTGTCACAGATATAGAATGACAAACATGAAAGTCAATTAACGGTGGCTGTTAGGATTCGGTGCGCCGTTTACAGCATTAGGAGTCTATTGGCTTCTCGCCGCTACATTGTGGTTCGCCACGGGGTGCCTACTATCCGACGGCTAATGACAGTTCCAAGCCACTCCTTTCCTACTACCGGTGGTGCACATCTGGAATGCATAATAGGCTAAAACCACACATTTCCGGACATTTGCAAATATTGGAGAGCAAATTGTGATATATTGTCTCTTCCTCGAATAACGGCATTCAGAGTTCCCGACTGAAATGCAGCTGGCAAAACTGCATTTCATAATTTGTACGTTTCGTTTATATTGTATATGTCTCTGTGTGCTCGTATTATATAATATATTAGACAATTTACGTACAAAATTAATGTATAGTAAGAAGTACGTATTTTATTATCGCGCTCTTTGTACACATAAAAATTTACTGAGATTTTGCACAATACAAGTTCTGCGAATTACCTTCGCTACGTTAAGTCAGAGAGATATCTACTAGCATTCTCTCGTTTCTCCAATAATTTGTGTTGGTTATCGCGAGGCTATCGAGGGCCAATGAATCTGTGGAGAGTTTCGCGGTACAAATTTATCGGTCCTCGATAGCCCTGCAATAGCCAACAAGTTGTTGGAAAACGAGTGCCCGCAAATATTTTTCCGACTCAACGTAGCGAAGATAACTGTAGCGAAGCTTCCAGTAGATATAACTCGCCTTTTTTTCCATGTATAATAAACGCAACGAAATAAACTGAACGCATGGAAAATATGTTTTTAGAGCGCATTAATTTTACACGTGAAAATTGTATAACACTCCGCGCGTCATCAACTTGTATGTATATATGATGTTACACGATCTGAAGGGTTAACTTTATGGGCCACTAGAACCCGCCAAACGTCCGGTAATCCTACGTCTTGGTCCATTTATCTATCCCCGTTTCTCTTTCTTTCTCACGTTGATCTCGCGTCTACAACGGCGATTTAACGTTGCACCAGCTCGAAAACGCGGTCGGACCGTCCGCAGGACACGTCGGAAGATTAAGTGTTTGGCACGGAGGTTAACCAGCCGCTGGCCAGGCGGTAACACGCGGAATCATCTGTAAATTGAGCCCTGGACTAGCGGGAGAGAGCGTCGGGACGGCCATAACTCACATGGGGTGCCGCCACCGACGCCTCGTACACGTCGGCTCTTTGCTTTCAACTACCGTGTTATCCCTTATCGTGGGCTGCCCCGGTCATCTCTTTGTGATTTGCGAGCCTATCGTACCTCTTTATAATTATATTCTTGGCGCGATGGAAGTGAACGAAAAAAAATTGCGTCTATCAAAACTTAAATCTGATTATTTAAAAATATATGAGAGGGCGATTTAAATAGTTGCATCTCTTGGAAATACTATTACAATGCAATATTTGCTATTAAATGCAATATTGCAAAATATAATTACGAAAATTTTCTATCTCAGATTTATATAATGTGGTTTTTAACTTATGTTATTTTGCTGAAATCCTTTCTTCTTTGTTCCAAGCTGGCATTCGTAAATTCTAATAAATTATAGCCAACTGGAATATTAAACTCATTATCCCCGTTATTACGATTTTAACTGTCAAATTCATACTAAAATGAATTTCTGCACAAGACGGCGTTATCTCCTTCGCCATGAGAACGGTATGTGTCCTACGAAACCTTAAGTAACATCTCGTCTTTCCGTATGTGTCACCATACTGCGCGTATTAAATTTCAATCTGTTACATCTACGTGCCCTCCAGCTGAGATGTTTTAGTTCGGGGAAGCCGCGGATGGGACGATGAACGAGGACGAGGTCTGATTAGTTGAGTTATTTGCCAGGAGAAGAGGCGCGACACCGATGCTTCCATGCTTCGTCGGTAATTCTTGCTGGATACCTTTTCTACAAAAAAGCCACGAATCTACGAGTGTTTTTCCCGACGCCTTGTTCCAGGCGTCTCATCAGTCACGTCGCTGGATGCCAAAGCGGAGGCGTCAGCCCAGCAGACTCCTCTAAGACGCCGATGTGTCAATTAATCCCTGCATCCCTCGGGATAGGACTAGGCTAGAAGCTGGATTATCATCATCTCCTCTCTCGTCGCTATCTTCCGCTATATCCTCCGTCTTACACCCTCCTGCGGGACGGCCATTTTCGTGGCCGAACTGCTTCTTACTAAACTACTGTCTCGGGCTACGTTTCCGCCATTAATTAATATAGCGGTGATACTTGATGCCGCTAATAGTTTCTCTTGACGCTCTTGCAAATTCGCCGAATAAAATTATCACGTAGCTTTAGACTCCATATGGACGGAGTTGAAAATAAGACGGTTATACATATAAAGGCGAAGAGTTTCTTCAGACGAAAGCCTACGGCAAGACACAAATATAAGCGGTAAGCGGAGCGAAGCTGAGGGGGATGGCGTAAAGGCTCGATAACGAAAGAAGGGTGGAAGGAATTGACTATACTCGGCGATTCCATGATATAGGTGATTGAGCGAGCGGGACTTTACCCTCCGGAGAAGAGCGCAGTACGAAAAGAACGGAGCATCTAATTTAAAGATTCATTGGCGAGTAAATCCTCGCTGAATTAGAGATAACTCTCCTAGAAAATCCCAGCTACTATGATACTCCGCAGCCCGCTGTCGCCGCGGTTATTCGTGGAAAGAAAGAGAGTCTTAAGGCGACGATATCCGTGAAAACGAATTCAATGTACGATAAGGTACGCTGAAAAAAAAACCTTTCCAATACCCGTCGATATAAATGATTAATCTATAATGTGATCTCACATCACTTGGAAATATTGCGAAAAAATCTGATTATTAATTGCCATTGTTAAATATTTATAATATGTTATCACGTTGATACATTTATTCATACTGATATAAAAAAGCGCATTATTATAATAACATAATGATTATCAAATCATTGTGCAATAGCAGTCTCATCAATCTTTTACTATGAAATCGTCTTTTGTCAATGAATTTGTCACAGATTAAAGGAAACGTGATGATGTCTAGAACTTATGCATTGCGTCAAATATTTTCAAATATGTGCATACATATATTACATAATCGTCATTATTAAAGCAGTGTTAGCGGCGGTTAATAGAGGCACGAAATGACTATAAATATTCGACACGGTGCTTGTCTGGACTTGGCAAAACGAATTATGGAGAGGAAGAAACGCGTAGTTCTCTTTCACAGTTCGTACAGTGTTTTCCCAGCTCGTTGGCGCAAACATCTGGAGGAATAACACTGCATAAAATATTCTAGATTATCCTCCAAAACCGACTACGAGTACGACACTTTGCAGCTGCAGGGGGTTTCAGAGCGGCGAAACGCGAGTGGTTCGCTCGTTCGCCGAGAGAGATCAAATAATAAACACGCTATAACAAATTGATAATCGGAGATCCCATAATCGTACGCATATTTGGTCCCGGAATCTGTAGCCCGACACTAAAAGAAGTTTCCACGCTCGTTGTTACGCCAAATGGACCGCTATAAAAGCGTGGGGTTCGTACCGCTATGCTCTCTCTCTCTTTCTTTTTCTCTCCTTCTTTTTATCTTTCTCTCTCGTTCCTGTGGCAGGATTGTATCGAAATAGATCGTATGCGCGTATCTGATTTTCGGGGGCGAAAAGAGAAATTCTTATATATGCTACTAACACATTCCCCCGGCACAACATGCACGACAGAGATAAATAAAAATAATCTATCCATTATTAACATTAATAAAACCGTAATAAATATATATGCGTTAATATATGATCAGAAACATGATACGAGCGAATCAGGGATACTTGTATGACGCTCTATAAAGAAAGTGAAACAGTCGCGATTTTCCACGGCGATAATAATTTTATGCAAATGTTCCAAGTTGATGCTCTCCGGAATGGCGACGATATCGTCAGATAGACATCTCTCGCCATACTTCTCGTATCTTCCCCTTTCTAGCGGGGAATAAAAGACGCGTTGTGGGGATTCCTATATCTGTTCTTCTACACTCGTAAAAGGAAAGTAGGTGTAAAAATTTGCAGAAAGAACGCGATAACATATGCCGATGGGTTAACCATAAACGATCGTAAAAAGAAACACTTACTTCTTATTTAAGCACGGTAGCAAGTCAAGGATAATTTTAATTGTACGTCAAGCTCGACGTACAACAGTGCGGAAAATAATTCTAACTCGTATTTTTTTAAACACTTTAATTGGAAGTGAAGTCAGCTTTCACTAAGTTTCTCTGGTTTGAGTGATATCTATATTTTTTCTAAACAATCCTCGCGTTTCTGCTTCGTAATCTTTATCTCCAGTGTATATTTATATATATATGAATGTATTTATTTGAGCGAAATATATAGAAATTTTTATTAAATATTTGGAAATAAAATGTTCTAAAATTTTGTGTGTTTTACATACAAGCACAGATAAATTTACTTCGCAGTCTAATAAATTACGAGACTGTTTATAAATGGTTTAAATAATAGCAGGTTCCACGATTCCGAGATGCGAATGAAAATCTGAAAG